GTATAATTTTCGCTTATTCTTACAATAAATTTCACGCCACCTTGACCACGAGGGCGCAAAATACGATCAGCGCGCCCACATGCGTGCCTGAAACTAGGTTTTGCTGCCTTAAAATTTGTGGGTGGGATTTTGGTCAACCATTAGTCAAATCCCCGGGGTCCTCCAATACCCGGCCCCCGTGCACATATATGAAAGGCAAATTCCCGACCCCTGTGAACTGTCTATCAGGCAAATTCCCGGGGGTGTCCCGGGGGGGGGATGGTTACTCCAGGAATTGACTCATGCATTAGGCTGTAACCCCCCTGAAAACATTCAAAATAGCCAGCTTGGTTGAGGCTTAATTTCAAGGGGTGAGTGCCTCACAAGCATACTGACTAGGAATATGGTGAGTGAGCGCTTTGCATACGAATACATGACGTGGTGGATCTAATGGGTTGTTCCAGAAAAGATCCATACTCCCCCCACAGAGGAAGTTTCTGCCGTCCGGAGGGGGAGGGGAGAAAAATCCGGCCCCCGTGCACATATATGAAAGGCAAATTCCCGACCCCTGTGAACTGTCTATCAGGCAAATTCCCGGGGGTGTCCCGGGGGGGGGGGATGGTTACTCCAGGAATTGACTCATGCATTACTCATAGCCTTCACACAAACATGCATTACACAGAAAATAGTAAAATAGCCCTCATTTTAGTATATCAAAACACAATGACATTAGGGTACTTTAGGGTGTATTAGAGTACATTAAACTACCTTAAACAACCATAAAGTCCATTAGCCTATCTTAGCCTACCTTGGAGTACCTAGAGTACCTTAGCCTACCATCGGGTACCTTAGCCTACAGGTACCTTGCAGAACTTAGAATACCTTGACCTACAGTACCTCACTCCTCAGCCTATCTTGGCATACCTTAGAATACCTTAGCCTATCTTCGGACAAATGCTATATTATGCTGATCATTCACAAACATAAGTCATGCCCATAAGCTGCCTCGTACCCAGGCATCTCTTTCTAAAAAAACAGTGAGCGCATATGACGAGTTTACATGAAGTATCGTAGTGGGGAGAGATGGGCAAAGGGGCTCATGGAAAGAGTGCCAACAGCCCCTTCGTGCGTCGCATGCCTTCCTGAATAATTCATGTATTATAATTAAGTGCCTGGGTACGAGGCAGCCCAGACAGGGTGGCACCACAGTATATATGATTCAGAGGTCCGACTCAGGCCAAAACCTTTATTGGGTCATTCCACAAAACATCCATACCACCCCCACAGAGGAAATAGGAAGCTAACCCCCCTACCCCCTTCGGATGTCCTAATACATTTACTATAATTATCAGAAACAATTTTTTCTCCCCTCCCCCTCCGGACGGCAGAAACTTCCTCTGTGGGGGGAGTATGGATCTTTTCTGGAACGACCCATTAGATCCACCACGTCATGTATTCGTATGCAAAGCGCTCACTCACCATATTCCTAGTCAGTATGCTTGTGAGGCACTCACCCCTTGAAATTAAGCCTCAACCAAGCTGGCTATTTTGAATGTTTTCAGGGGGGTTACAGCCTAATGCATGAGTCAATTCCTGGAGTAACCATCCCCCCCGGGACACCCCCGGGCATTTTCCCGATAGACAGTTCACGGGGGTCGGGAATTTGCCTTTCATATATGTGCACAGGGGCCGGGTATTGGAGGACCCTGGGGATTTGACAAATGGTTGCCCAGAATCCCACCCACAAATTTTAAGGCAGCAAAACCTAGTTTCAGGCAAGCATGTGGGCGCGCTGATCGTGGTTTGCGCCCTCTTGGTCAAGGTGGCGTGAAATTTATTGTAAGAATAAGCAAAAATTATACCCTCTGCCATGCAAATTTAAATACAACTACTAAAGGTTTATGTTTTATAATATTCCATAGCAGTTTAATACTATAATCAGTTATGTTATTAAATGACTATGATTATATGCCTTTAAAAGTTTAATTAACGTTTACAGTCGATTTCACGAAACTTTGACCACAAAATTTCCGAACTTCGTTGCGAAGGTCACAAGATTGTTGCGAAGTTCAAAAGTTCATAATGAGATTCACAAACCAGTTCGTAAACTACGCATTTGATTGGCTTCTTTTACTTCACGGATCAATCAGGGACTTTGTTTACAAATTGGCTTGTGAATTCCAATATGAGCTTCCAAACTTCACAACGAACTTGCGAACTTCGCAACGAAATTCGGAACATTTGTGGTCAAAGTTTCGTGAAATCGACTGTAAAATCGTCCCCGGGGTGGGGCATTTTCCACTCTCAGCTTGCCCAGGGGCCGTGCATTAGTCTTCAAGTTGTGTCCCGGCACCCGGGCATTTACACTGTCATAACCAATCGGGGGGGGGGGGGGGGGGGGGGGGGGGGGGGGGGATGGTTACTCCTGGAATTGACTCATGCATAAGGCCACTATTTGTTGTATATTAGTTTCTCATCCGGAGCTTCACCTAAAGTTGATGCGGGCGGGCGGGCCATTACCATTATGCCATTATTTGCCGGGTTTCCCCTCTCCGTAAAATTTACCTTTGAAAAAGTGCGCATTAATGTGAAAAAGTGCGCGTACCGGAAAATACAGGAATCGTTGTATGTTTTATACAGCTGCAACTTTCTGAATGTTTCCATACCCTGTAATTCAGCATTGCAAAACAGCACTAAATTCGTAAGTGCAACTGAAACCATGTTTTCATATTAAAAACATGGCCGCTCCACATATGAAATAATTTTGTAGCCAAGTCGTCTCGAGTTTGCATATTTGATAAGCGTGTACGTAATTATAATGCGGGAGAAACTGGCAGTTTTGGTATGAAATTTCGTATTTT